TCAGCAATATGACATACACTGAATTTCAAGCTTGTTCATAGTACTTCCTTATAGATGTGTTACCATTTGAAACTACATGCACAGTTCTGGGAATGCCATCTGTTGGAAAATAGCAAGAACTTATTCAAGGTCCTAATAAAATATATATATATATATATATATATATATAAAACTTAAAACATAAAACTACCTCTCAAAAGCATATAAAAATAATACATAAATTTTAAAAGCACTTTTTTATGCTTAAGAATATGATCTGAAGAAACAGGAAAAACAACTTTCCTGGGGAAATAAAATATGATCAATGGTACCTTAAAGTTGTCTGTTTTTTAATTTTAATTAAATTATTTATATATATATATATATATATATATATATATATATATATATATATATATATATATATATATATATATATATATATATATATATATATATATATATATATATATATATATATATATATAAACACACACACACACATATATATGTATATAATATGTCAGTGTTGAAGGGGCCACATATGCAATGAATACCTTAGATTTTTTTTTCCAGGATAAATACTTTTTATATAATGAAAAATTTATTGATAAATTTTTCTATCATCCTTGTACTCATAGTCTTTCTTTTTTTTTCTATGTACCTCATCCTTTCAAAGCATGGGTAGTCATAGCTTTCCAAAACTTCTTATCCTTTGTGATCTCAGTAATTTTGGTCCCTTTTCTAAGCCTCCCACCCACCATTCTGATATCCTTTCACACAGGCCTATCAAGTTTTGCTGACTTCCCTTATCTCTCTTGCCCATAATATGCCCTGTGAGTGTTAAGTTTTCCAAGCCCTCCTTTTTCAGAATGTGATCAAGAAATTTCAGCTGTCTCTTACTGAGGTTGAGTATAAGTATACTTTTTGTTTCCAATTTATTTAAGTCTTCTTAGTTACTTAGTCACTCTGTCCATGGAATTCTCTATATCTTTCTGTTTCCTCCAGTTTTCTCGTCATCTGGGAAGAGATTTTCTATCATTCATTGCCACATAAGGGGATAAAATTTCCCATTTCTTAGGATAAATTCTGAAACATATCTTAAATAGTGTAAGCCTCTGTATAATACGCCCAGACCAGAAGAACTGAGCTAAAGGATGATGAGGACTTATGAAAAAGAAGTAAGAAAAAAGCTGTGGAGTTAACTGCTTTTTCTTTGGGGTCGGGGATGAGGATAGAGCATTGTGCTGATACTTTCTATCCTTTTATTGCTCTTTAATAATGTTTTTTTTTTCTCATATTCTTTCACACTCAATAACTTCCTGCATATTAGTGGATCTTTTTCCTTGCTTGGAGTGAAAACAAAAAAAAAAAAACCCAAAACAAAGTGGTCAATGGATTTAACAAAAAGAAACAAAGAATTTATTTAATTTACATATGAACAAGTTTTAAATATGTTATTATTTGTTGATTTTATTACTTTCTTAGATTTTTCTTCTCACCTTTAACAGTCATCATGGACTCCATTCCTCAGTTTCTAAGTAATTCAATCATTTTCACTTTATCTATCTATCTATCTATCTATCTATCTCTCTCTCTCTCTCTCTCTCTCTATATATATATATATATATATATATATATATATATATATATATATTTATATATAGTTTATGAAAAACTAGGTAATCCGTATGGGTAAACCTAAGGAGGATAAAATCCAGAGAGCTCAATGTAAATTCAAAGCAAATAATTTAAGTAAAAACCGACCACTTTAAGGTTCCATGTAATAAATTATTTCACCACAGCCCTTTTAAAAGGACTGCGGATCATCAGACTTTACTTCCAAACAAAAAATGAAAAGAAAATTTACACATTTTTGACAGGCCGTATTAAACATATGTAAATTAACGAAGTGAGTGGGGAGAATATCTGCTAACTCACTCATGTCTTCTGTCAATATCTGCTCACTCACTCATGTCTTCTCTCTCCCCCTCACTTCCTCACTTCGTTAATTTACATATGTTTAATACGATCAGTCAAAAATGTGTAAATTTTCTTTTCATTTTTTGTTTGGAAGTAAAGTCTGATGAACCGCAGTCCTTTTAAAAGGGCTGTGGTGAAATAATTTATTATGGGAACCTTAAAAGTAGTCTGTTTTTATTTAAAATATATATATATATATATATATATATATATATATATATAAATATTTAATGAAAAACAGACCACTTTAAGGTACCATTACTTGGTGAAAGATTCGACACAGGGGGTAAGGAATGTTTTTGAGTGAGTAATCCGGTGTAAATTTTTCCATTTTATGTTGGAAGTGAGGGTCCTTACGGTAATCCGATAGGAGCTCAACTTATTCTATAAGGAGCTAATAGTTAATGGGTTAATGTGCTCAATGTCAGGAATACACTACATGTAAATATAAAAGTGGACATTGAAATCAACACCCAGAGGCGACAGTCTGTTTTATGCCAAATGTAATCGTCATGGTGAGATGATTGCATTTAGCATGAAACAGACACCTCTTGGTGTTGATTTTAATGTCCACTTTTATATTTATATATATAGTCATCCACAGACAGACTGTTTTGCTGTATCACAGCTCATCAGTACGGATAGACATGCAATTGCTTCAAGCCAGGATTAAAACCCGACTGGTTTGACATCAGCTGGAGACTCTCACCCTTAAGCCATCAGTACACACTACAGAGAAAGGGAATTTGTAACATATTATATGAGGTATAAGCACAAGTGGCTACCAGAGGGCTCAATTCATAGTGAAGAGCTTTTAGCATTAATCAGCAGCAGCCAACAAATTTCCTTTCTTCCAAAGTGTTCAACCTACAATGTAGAAATGATCTAAATAAAGAGGTACAATCAACCATATATGTGAGCGATTATGTACACATACAGGTGATCAAATAACTGTTTATTTAATCAGTGATGTAGACAAAACTCAATGTAGCTTAACAGAGCTATAAAGTATATATTAAAAATTAAACATATACCTACATTTACAGTATCATGAACTGTTCAATATGGTTGGGTTTTTTTTTTGTACCTTATGTGTGGGAAAACCATGAAACTCTGATTCATACTGTAAACATAGGTATATGTGTAATTATTAATATATATATATATATATATATATATATATATATATATATATATATATATAAAATAATGCTATTTATTATAATTTTATCATCTAGACAAAAACAGTTTACTCACTACAAAAATGCAACTTCGTTTCAGTGCATTTCAATTGAACCTTGACGGGTGAGAACCAAAAATGGTTATGAACAATTCTGCTTGTGGGCAAGCCATATGTAAAGCGCCATTTCCGTTTTTTCATTTGTTTGAGAAAAAAAATATACATGAAGCAAATAGGTGACAGAGAAATATGAATAAAGAAAATGCACTCTCATGCATGAATCAATCATATAGTCCCCACCGCCCATGTAAGAGAAACCACTTTTTTTCTTTTTTTTTTTAAAGAAAGGGGTGGGGATTTCAAATAAAATTATCTAGTATAATAATAATTAAAGTAATAAAAAGAAATCATTAAAAATGAATAAATTCATTAATTATTTATCAATGCACACATACATATATATACATCAAAGAGCCAGACTACCCACACATGATTTGATTATAGTTATGATGGCTTGTGCAGAACCAGCCACACTCCACAAGTTTAAATTCAAAATCCTTCTTCTAGTCAGGGTGGCAACCAGTCTAGGAAAAAGTATAGTACCCAGTTTGTCCTGCTATTTACCCATAGCTGGCAGGGGAAGAAGAGATGCATCTATACCATTCCCAAGGGTATTAGCACATAAGTGAATGTTATGAAGTTGACTTGAATTTGAACTTGGCCCACCAGTTCCTCAATTCTTTGATTGTTGCTGTCCATTACTCCACTATGTGTCCATATATATATATATATGTGTGTGTGTGTGTGTGAGAGCACATATTTACTTATCATGACTTCTTATAACTAGCATAGATTACAATATACAGTAGAAGTCCTCATATCTGAACCTAAGAGTAGTTCGGATATGAGGATGGGTTGAGATATAATGTTGCATGTGTAATATAACTATAACTTAACAAATCACAACAACCAATCACAATATATAAAAAATCATGTGTCTTTACAAAAGTAAATATTAATTTGTAATGTTTAATGCTCAACAAGTTTTATTTTCAATTGTCTTTCTTATTTCTTTTCTCATTTTGTATACTTTTCACTGTTCTTGTTTTTTTAAAGTCAGGCATTTCTGCAAATTACATGCACTTGTACATTCTGTATTGGTGAACAAAGATTTTTTTTTCTCCATGAATTTGATAACCTCATCAATAGTTTTCTCTACTGAGTCCCAGTCTTCATCATCTTTCATATTTTCACCATTATTAGAAGAATTTGGTTCTTCCTCTATTTCTTAACAATCCAAAATCATTTTGAAGCAATTCTACCATTGGATTTATTTTGTAATTCATTAGCGTCTTCATTTATCCATTCTTTTAAGTCATCCAAAGTGAGAGTATTTAGTGGATCATCTTCAAGCACAAGTTTTAGTGTTTCATTCAGATTCTGCAATCCTTGTTTGTTAATTTGCAAATTCAACAAATTAGGAGCTTTGTCCAGTTTTTCAATAATCTCTAATTTCTGACATAACGTGAAAGAATTTCTTTTCTTTTTTCTTCCCGTTGAAGTTTCTTCTGTGTGAGACATTATAGGTTGAGAAATTTCAAGTTACTAACAATTATCTGTAAAGAAAAGAACAATATTAGAATGTAGCATATTCTGACAGCATTTAAATTGGTAACACTGAGAAGTTTGGATATGAGGACTTCTACTGTATTACTTTCTTTTTTCCTCTCTATGAATATTATTGTTTTATCAATGTTTATAAAGCTTGCTTTTCAGTGTATAAACAAAAAATATTTCTGAGAAATATCTTATTCTAAACACATTGTTTATTAATTTACATATTTATTATTTTGAACAGGTCAAAGCCAGTACTTAGCTTGCTTGGCCCCTCATTGTGGTGAAGTTAATATGGACTATTCCATCAACCCTATCTTGCCTTCATCGTTAGTTGTACAGGATGAATATATTTTTGTGCAAGTAAGTAAGATTTAATTGTATACTTGAAATGAAAAAACTATTCCCAATAAATTATTCATGATAAATAACTGGTAAGGTCCATATTTTCAATAGTCCTGACAGCTCGTTTTATATTTGATTTATCAAAGGGGGATAAAAGATAAATGATTCTTGTTTCTTTGATTTGTTTTTTTTCATTAATTCACCCCAAACAAGGCAATAATGTCACTAACATGCATGGGGCTACTGTGAGCAAATGAGAATAAAAAGATTTTAGAAGTAGTTAGAAACCCAATCCAAAACAGGAAACAAGGGATAAACCTCTACTTCTTTTCAGATTAGGGAGAAGTGTGAATGATAAGTGAACCTATCTGCTCCTATTGACGGGAAAAAAAATTAAATAGTAAATAAAATTTCATATTTACTTTCAGAAAAAACATTTTCTTGCTTTCTTAGAAACAAGTTTAGTCTTTACTTGTATATGTCTGCAGGAAATTTGATTTTATATTTGATCTTTGAATTACAAAAAAACACATGTGCATATTGACATAACAGTAGAAGTTGGTATAATGTTTATCAGCACAGAATTCTGAATCTGGACCCTAATAAAATTCTTGGGATATGGTAGGGATACTTCAATTTGTGGGTTGAGAGTTGTATAGGTCTGTCTCAAATATGGTTTATCACGCACCTCACCTTTGCCATTCTTGAAACTGATTATCTATCAACTGACTGTGATCACATTCAGTGTTTGGTCTTATGTAAATTTTCAGTAAGTATCAATAAATGTCAGTGGGTGCAATTTTTCCACATGGAGGAATTCAGTGACTGTCACTGTGCTACAATTTGCAAAAAGGAAAAAATAGGATATCAGCAGGAAGGTTTAGTTACCATAATGCCAACATAATTTAGATATGAGACATTTCTTTTGGAGCCTGTATTCCTTTGGATCTTGTTGGAATGGCTAAGAGGAGGGCCATGTGATTTGGGCAGTACATGGCCTCCATATACCGTCACCTGTGAGCTGGAGAATCACTCTAGTCTCACCACCAAAAGACTGAAATTTGATCAAACAAAACACTGTTATTATCTCACAAGATAAATGGAGGCCTATTGATACTACATTTGGTGTAAGCCATATTAAACACCCCTTTACTTTTTAAAAATTGCTTATCCATTCCCAAAATATGTTTGAATTTCTCATTTCAGAAATCTTTGTGTCCTTTTTAATTTTTAATCAGTTCCATGCCATGCAAGACAGTAAGCTACTGGGACAAAAATGTAGAAGAATTATGAATAAAAACATTAATGATGAGCAGGAAGAGAAAAGAGTAATCAGGAGGGCAGTAGATAGTGACTGACATTGCATTTCAATATTTGCAGATTAAAGTTGGCTGGAAAGCATGGATCTGGAAAAGAGTTCCACAAGCGAGAAGTGCAAGAAAAGAAATAGCATAGAACTTATGGCTACATCTAGCTCACTCAACTGTAAATTGATGAATCTAGTACTGCACAAATTCAAAAAGTCGAGGTACCATAGTGAAGAGCTCATCTGAACAATTATAATGAAAGTATTTATAGAAAAGACAGAGAGATGCAACCTTACAGTGGTGGGAAAGTGACTGGAGCTGAGCCACCAGATAAGAACAGACAATATTGCTGATTCTTCTTTTGATTTTATCAAGGAGCTCAAATAAATAGCAGGGGTGCCGAATCATATTCTAAGCATGGATGAATGCTAGACTTATAGATATATGTAATTTGTAAAATTCAATTGTAAATACTGTCTTATTAAATATAAGAGAACAAGCATTAATTCTAATTTTTTTAAAAATGTTTAAATATAGTGCATGAAAATACTTTTATTCTTCAATTAAAATTACATTTTAGATTTTTATTATTTATATTATTAAATATTTTAATGATTTATTCAAAAGGATGTATAACAGATAGTGGCTCAGATTGAGAAATTGGGGAGCTAAGATTAAATTCCAGTCGGGTTTGTTACATTCAATTATGTGCAAATACCATTGGAAAAGATAGAAAACCATCACATCTCTCCTCATTTATGGGTTAGATAGTAGGGCAGACTGAGCCTGTTAGCCATGGTTGTGAACCAATCTAGGAGAAGGAACAACTTTGGTTGGACAAGGCGCGAGCAACTCCATCCCCCCAAAAATAATATTTGCTATGGAAACTACAGAAGCAATGACTATCATGCTTTGTCCCCCCCCACATTCCTCAGTAGGGTCAAAAGTCTGTGAGTTTATATTCAAAAAAATTATTTTAATATTTGTGAAATTGTTAATGGTTCGGTTTATTTATTCAACTCAACCTTGTTCGCACATCAGGCATTACCAACTTTGATTTTTGCTGTTTTATGATTTTGCATTTTCTGTGTCTATCTTTTCTTATTTTGATATTTTCATTAGCAAATCTAGGATTATTTATGTAAAAAAATTCCTATAATAAGAAATGAATAATTTGTGATTTCTGCCTTCATTGTGCATGTATATTGTTCATTTTATAACCCTAGTTTTTATAATATTTAATCTTTTTCAGACAGTATTTTATTGAAATCTCAGCTAATGAATTTTCATGATATCCAATACAAAATAAAATACTATCATAAAATGATTAAAGAAACATCTTGTAAATTTTTTTTTTCCTTTTCATCATATTTGGCTCTAAATTATTAAACATACAATTCAAAAGTTTGAAGCCTCCCCCAAAATTAGCATGGGGGATGAATTAGACAGAAGAGTATAAAAAAAAAAAATTAAAAGAAGTTCTTAGAGTCATTGAAAAAAAATGGTATCAGTTATCAAACTAATACTTTGAAAATGTTTTGCAACAAATGCTAAAACTTTGTGCTGCAGTTATCAAAGTGAAAGGAGGATATTTTGATGAGAGCAAAATTTAATCATAAAATGCTTTTTTTCTCTTTGTCATAATAAAATTCTAATAAAAAAATCATGTTTCACTTTTTTTAACCATGTATAATAATTTTCTCTTATTTAAATTACTGTTACATTATTGTTTAATGTATACTCCTTTTGCACTACCATTAATGTATGCTCCCTAATTGACATTAAGGAACGTGATTATCACTCCCTTTCTCCCTAACCCCTTGTCTTACTCTTTTTCTTCCAGTATCCAATAAAGGCACATTCTGTGTCGGCTCTCTTTCAAACCTGTCTTTGTCCTGTTTTCCGTGACTTAATGTAACAAGTACAAAACAACTACTTTTTGGGCCAATTTAGAAAATTACCAAGGGTGTCCTCAAACTTTTGAACGGTAGTGTACATTAGTCTTAATTTAGAATACTTCAGTTTCCTCTCATGACCAAATTAGGCTAGAAAACCTAATGGAAATTTCTTAGTTTGATATAAACAACTTGCTTATATTTTCAATTTACATTTTGTTTCATCTTACTTTCCTTAGCATATCCAGAATATCCTATAGGATACTCTACCTCCCCATAATATCAGTTTCGTAATTCAAATGTCAGCATAACATAGATTACATAGGTAGAATGAGTCAAAGATTAGGAAGTAACGATCAATCAGTACATACCAGCTAATATTCAGAAGGGCAAGCTCGATAATTTTCATAGGTGCATTAATGCAATTGGTTCAGCAATAGCTAAATGTTTATTAAAAATCAGCAATGTGCCTATTATTATAATCAATACTGAAGAAGGTTATTTCAGAATTTCATTTCAAGGTTTTGGGATCTATTTATATTAAGTCCTACCAGTAATCTCTTTATAAACAGGAGGAGAGGTTTTTAGGCTTAAATGTAATTAGCCTTTAATTGTTATATACTTATTATATGACATCTGCTTTTTGGTGTGTATTTTATTCATTGTGTAGATTTATTATCCTTGATTGAGCTCTGGTGAAAGAGGACTGATACACTAGTTAGGATGTATTTTTTTTGTTTATTGTGTTTTGTATTTTGATATTACCATGTTATGATAATTGTAATGACAAAAGTATGCAGGTGTAGGCTTTAATAAAGCTTTATTCAACTGAGAATACAAGGTTCATGCATAGTGTCCTTTTATAGTCCCAGTAAACAGAAATAGCCCTCTCAAAGAGGAGAGTAACAAAACAAGGAGAGACCACTCTTGATTATTCATAACAGTAATGTCAATTTTTTGTTATCCCCTTTTTTTATTCTCCTACTGACATGTATGCTTTTATTGCTATTATTAAATTATACACCCTAGTAAAATATATCAAGAACAATAGATTTTATGTGAAAAAATTCCTATAAGACATGAATAATTGTTAAGACTTAAGATGGGACTTCTGTTCATACATTTTGTTCATTTTATAAGAGTGGTTTTATAATACTTTCTCTTTTTTTTTATTTGACATCTTAGCTAATGAATTTTTATGACAAAATAATATCATAAAATGATTAAAGAAACATCTTGTAAATGAATTATTTCTTTTCCTCCTTCTTTCATCATGACTGGTTGCAAAATATTGAACACACATTAGTCTTAATTTAGAATGCATCCTCTAATGACTATTTGAGGAAAAAACAAATTAGATTAAAAAAAAAAAAAAATTTAATGGAAATTTGTTAGTTTGATATCAACATCTTGCTTACAAGCTGCACAAATAAAGTACTTTAAGGCAGGCAATCAGAATTGCTTTGAAATCTCTTTATTCTACATGTTAAGAGCCAGCTTTAAAAGAATACTCCAGTTCCTGCTACTGGAAATTTACAACATAAAAGATCTTTTTTTTTTCCTTTAGATGTTTATTTTTTTGCAGCTGCCAAAATTAAACTAATATAAAAAACATACATGTCAATTCATAGTAAAGCAAAAGGTAACTTTCAGTACATCAATATAACATTTACAAGCAACATACAAAATACAATAGTATTAATATATATACAGGGTGTACCAAAAAATTTGACATCATTTTGCAGGCCAATAATTTTGGCAATTCTTGTTGAAATAACCTCAAATTTTCACAGAATGTATAGAAACAGATCAAGAT